CACGCCTCAACTTACAGGATTAGAGGGGACAGGCCGCGGTAAAAAAAAGCAAACTCTCACCTCCTCAAGTCAGCAACACTTCTGAATCACTCGAATACCATTCAGTATTTCATTCATGATGCTGATACGTTTATCCGTACGTGCTGCGATAGCTCTCCTGCAGAAATTGTTCGAGTATTGCAGTGTAAATATTGACAATAAAAACAATTATATTATATTATATATATTATTATATTATTTATTATTCTTATATTATATTATATTATATTATTAAGCCTGTAAAAAACCTGCATGCTCCCATCTGTCTGCTGAAGTAGCCTTGAATCGGGATGAGCAGTACCAAGGCTCCAAAACCTTAAGCAGAAGTTCTCACTGGATTCATAAACCCGATGATCAAAAAAGTTACCGGCAAAAGATGATGGGCCGATTTCCTGCCACAGACAGTAGCTGTAAGCGATTAGTAGAAGTGGAGAAACCCACATGTAATGAAGAAAGAGGAAACCCTGAAGTAAAAAACCTGAGAGGAAAAACATGAGGAGACAAGTATAAAGTACAATTTACCATATCGAATTTGTTGATATCCGTAGAAAGTAAATTTACCATGTGACCAACGGTGGTCTTATGAAGAGCAGAACTTGAAAGACGAATACCCTATAAGCCTTATGAAGAAAGAAGTATCTGAGAATGAGACGTAAAGGCTTTACCTTGTTCACTATCATCCCACTAGCAGCGACTTTCAGCTGGAGCCCGACCTTCTGAAGGCCATAGAAATATGGATGATGAATCAGCGCAAAGAGAGCTGCAGTCATCGCAACACCTCCAGCAGCTTAATAATCAAGAATCACGATGGTATGTAAGGCTTTGAATAAGGTGTTAATCCCAGGTTTACTAGAAGGCAGTAAGCACGATTGCAGGGGGGGGGGGGGTGGGATAGTGCAGTTGTTCCTAGTGTTAATGGTAGTAAGGGTGTCTGGCTGAACCCTGCTCAGCCCTTCCACCAATGACACAGACGGCAACGGCCCGCCCCAGCGATCGTGCCCAGGGCCTTTAGGATTTTATAGGGTGTAAGACAAACAGGAGGACCTAAAATGGAGGAGGGTGAGAGGGCGGGGGGGGACGCGTTGACACGTCTACGACTCCTCCTCTCTTCAAGTCGGGCCTGACAAATCGCGAACGATCAGAGTCGCTGCGGCCTAGTCTGGAAGACCGGATATAGTTTCGCCACCGATTACTCCTCGAAACATGTTAGCGCCCAATTAAATGATGCAAAACTTCAATCACCTACTATCAGTGGGCTTACATATCAGAAAAACTACCGAAGTTATCCAGGTGATCAATAATACTTACAAGGGAATGGTTTGAACTTCCCATGGAACTTTGAATGGAGACCTAGGTACATCGATAGAGCCTCGAATGCTGATTACGAATATGCAGATTAAAAGTGCTACGGGGACCTCCCAGACGAGATCTGGGTGGTCAAAGTTTGAGTTCTGGCTCGTAAGCGCTGCTGATCGATGCCTCGGCAGTGCCACCGTGGCCTCGTGGTAACGGTCTCGCTTTCAAGTCAAACGCACGCGGTTTGCATCCGGTTGGCGCGAAATTTTTGCTTCGCTCCCTATAAGAGCTTTTACTCTAATTTTCAAAATTCTTCCGAGTTTACGGCCCAGCAGGGCAAGTAGATCAAGTACATCAAGTATGACCCAACGAGGGTTTTGTTTCGTCGAAAGATGTGATATTCGTGTCCAGGGGGTCGAAATCTCCCATGAACGAGTTTCTCGCCAAAACTTTGAATTGCCGGATGGGTAATATGTTCAGAGAGGGCAGATATGAGCAAATCCATACTAGATCGAGTACGTCATATATACGTGATGTACTTGATCTACTTGCCCTGCTGGGCCGTAAACTCGGAACAACGAAAATTAGAGTTAAAGCTCTTATAGGGAGCGAAGCAAAAATTTTCGCGCCAACCGGATGCAAACCTCACGCGTTTGACTTTCTAAGCGAGACCGTTACCACAAGGCCACGGTGGCACTGCCTGGCAATCGATCAGCAGCGCTTACGAGCCAAAACTGACTTTCCGCAAAGCTATTTGACTCCCAGATCTCGTCTGGGAGGTCCCCGTAGCACTTTTAATCTGCATATTCGTAATCAGCATTCGAGGCTCTATCGATGTACCTAGGTCTCCATTCAAAGTTCCATGGGAAGTTCAAACCATTCCCTTGTAGACAGAAAGGGAAGACCAAATGGCTTAGGCTCACGAAGACGGAACCACTGAAAGGAAGCATGTACTTCTGATTAACTTACCAACGTAAGCCTCCATTTCGGTCATGGGGGCATCAAAGCGAAAGTATCGAATGAGACGACCCATAAATAGTGGTTGGCAAATTTTAACACTTTCCTAGACAAAGAACCATAAACTTTTCAACGAAATCAAACGAAACATCAGAAAAAGAGGATGAAGGAAAGCGGCAGTCTTTAGCGGCAGTTCACATCCCTTTCCTGTAGGAAATGCGGGGCATTTTAGCAAACTTTGTGCCACCCGATCTCTAGCCACAGCTTGAGCTGCGTCAAAACTGAAATATTACATTGAACAATTACTCAATAAGGGAAAGGTTCAGCCTGGGCCTGGCTGTAGTAAGAATGCGGCCGTTCCTCTCCTCTGCAAGAAAGTGCAAAGGGAACGAAACTTTCCGCCAGTCCACTATACCGAAGAAATGTCCTGTAAACACACTGGGCCATTTCGAGGCATCCTGCAAGGAGCTGAAGACTCACGATTTTCAGGCTCTTTTTTTTACACAATTTCCTATATTTTCCCAAAATATTCGAAGGAATCAAGCGCTGGAAAGTGCAAAGAAGCTTGTGAGCCAGGAGATTCGCATTTTCATCTCAGCATATAGGGGAAGAAGCTCGAGGAGAAGGATAAAAAGGATAAAGTCTTCGCCGTTGATCAATCCCTTTGTGGGATGCGGCACGCATTCTACTTCCATTCAGAATCGTAGTGGCTTATTGAATGCGATGTGGCCTATACAATGACTTGCGGTGGCCAGCCGATGTACAAGTCAGTGTTTTATCCTCCCAGACGAATCTGGTACCAATTTACCGTCCCCGGAGGGTAGAAGCTTGGTTGGCCTGGGCGGGAGTCGACCCGGGATTTGAACCCAGGACCGCGCGAGTGGTAAGCGCGCCACTTGTCACCACACCACCTCCGCCTCAAGTATAGACGAATTAATCCTCAAGGGAAATCTCTTGAGAAGCCCCTTGTGGGCAAAAGGATTAATTTTCTTGGGGGGGGGGGGGGGTTCACCTACCTCAGAGTCTTTCCAGAACCTTGAAAGGCTGTCCGTACGCTGGACTGGCGCCCACACTTTTATACGACCTACCCCGTGTGGCCCATGCTCGCTGTACATTAAACCTTCCCTAGCACTTCACTCCACAACATACAGTTCATGTCCCACAAATGGAGTGTTTTCTTCGTAACGGACGTATCGAGCTTCACGCTATACTAGTGCGATATTTGCATTCAGAAGGTTTCTCCAACAATGTTGCCACTTAAATAAGTTTTGGCGCCGGCGCAGGGACCGCAGGTAACGTGGATTCGAGCCAAGCAAACGTGATATTTTATTTAGGTAGTTGTCTTACTCTCGGGGTCAAAATTCTGCCGTGCATAACCACGTGGAAAAAAAGTTTCGACCAAAAGTTTTATGTGTGGGACAGAAAAAGGTAAACTGCCGAGACGCAAAGTAAAATGAGAAAATCGAAAGTCAATAATGTCACCTCCAAAAAGAGTAGAATACCAAATTGAGCAACTTCCTTCCAATATGTTCTCCGAATGGCTGACATCAGGCTGGGAGGCCTTCTTGCCTTTGCAGCCATCTCTTGTTCGTCATTCCATGCTCTGCAAAAAAAAAACGCTGACAGGTTTTTCTCCATAGTTCGCGCGTGCAATTTGCCCGTTATTTACACTCACCTCGTCAAACGATTCGTGGCAGCTTCTGATTCATGATTCGGCAAAGGCTCGAACATGTCCTTTTCTTCCAGTGTTTTTCGAGATCCCTTGTAGAAGAGACTGGTCATAAAACTGAAAAACTGAACTTTCATACGAATCGAGGGCAAATTGGCATTGGCCCAATAAACCGATCTAATCTCTAAACTTTTATGAAGAATTTGTTCAGCCACCTCAAGGCTCCTCCTGTTGGAGAATGAAGACACCACAGTGATATAGCTGTGATAGACCACCATGTTTTGTTATGATGTAACATTGTTTGTATTATGGATATTTAAGCACAATGTGTGGTGAGGTTGTCACTTTTCTCCGAGGATAAACTTCCAACCAAATCCGGTCACTACGTTCACAACACCTCCCCCTCCAAACTGATGCAAAACTATCATATTTGGCTTACAATCATTTCGTCCCATATTCCAGCATCAAAGACTGTCTAAAATTTGGAAGAAAATCGGAGGAATGTTGTAGAAGTGAAACGTGCACCATTTCGTGGCTTTACACGACTTTACGGCACTGCACCCCAAAGGCACACCCTGCATACGATTAATGGTCAGGCGCATTCTCCGGATATGGTAGTCCTGCCAGCAAGCATGCAGGATTTACTATTTCCGCAGTTCAAAAACACGCGAGAAAAGCGTTGCCAGTTAGCGACAGGACCATTTCTCCGCCCACTGGCCACGGTGACGCCCAACTCCCATTTTTAACTGCTATTCTATGGTGCGGTTGTTCCATTGCTAATTCTCACTTTGAAAGTAAGTTGTTCAGGAGAAAGAGCTGGCACCAACAAGTGAGAGCTCGTCCGAACTTCGTCCTTTTTTACCTTATGCACGTAGAATCGTGAATCGGGGATCTATAGGGAGATTCAGGAAGGTTTTCAGTATTTGTTCGTCATTTTCAGGACGTTCACTACATTGTCCATTGTCATCAGTATTTGAGCCGCACAGATCACGAATGCGGGGCGTGCCGTCGAGGATGTGGTTTTTCGACTAACGGCGACAAACGTATATCTTGAAAAACTCGATAAAACTCACATAAAAGTAATCCTAGAAAAAATATTGGCTGTTGCCTCTGGGTTAGGGCTGAGAGTGCTTTTAGATTTCTCCTCCGGTTGGTCCAGCAATGGCTCACATGGCTCGCCACCATTACTTAGGTGAGCCTTACCCATGACTATAATCACAAAACAATTCAAAACAGTAGACAAGTACACATTACTATTACTATCACACTAGCCGCTGACTATAAATCACACAATTTACACTTATTACTAAATGAAAATAGCTAAAAGTGCTAGAGGTAATAACACACGAAATCTCCACAATCGTTTGGGTAGCGAAACCAGGACAGCAAAAAAAAAGTGCCCGAAGAAAATTTACGGTTCGAATCAAATCAACTAGAGCGCAGAAAACTTCTGACACTCTAAATAATGGAACAGTTCGACTAGACCTGACAGTTTAATGCAACAATTTGTGATTACTAGTGCTGTTTAAAGGATGCATCACATACTAAACAAATCCGGTCTCTTATTCAATAGAACACTCCAGGACATAGTAATTGTGAAACAAATTAGTGCTGTTTATAAAAATACGTTGTACGCATCTCATTATCCGCAATATTACGGACTTGGCTTGATGACAATGATTCACAAGCAAGTCTTTCGTTGGAAGGCTCCCAAAAGACGGTGCTGGGGAGTAAGGCTATATAGCGAGCGCAGAAATAAACGAGTAGAACTGAATTTCGAAATGAGCGGTTTTGATTACTGAATCTTAGGCCCGAATAGTAAGACCCCGGAACCTACTGAGTCTGTTCAATTGGGGGCTATTTTTGACTGCACGAAAAACTACTGAGTAACATCGGGAAAGAATTATTGTACTTTGCACATCCTCTCGCTGTTTTGGGCGAGATCACTGTAAAACAGGTCATGACCAGATTAGCACGATTCTTTGTTTTACGGATGGATGGACAATGCGGATCATTTCAGGGATGCGTTGGCGTAGACACAATGGTGCCCATTACTATGGGCTTGGAGTCCAAAAAAGCCCCATGGTAGATCAATCCTTATTCGCTCTCAGTTGTCAAATTTGACCCAAAAAATGGGCACGGACCATGGCTGGGGAAGAAATGTGCCTACTGTGACGAGAAAGCGGTCATTCAGGAGGTGCGGGACCAATATCCCACTGTTTGAAGCTTGAACGGTGGGGAGAGCATGCGATGCGGTCCGCAAGCGGTCATGGATGGCTGGATATCGGGTAGTACACGTGTGATTCTAGTCAGACAAAACGGCAGGTGTGCTAAGAGCCACACAATTAGGGAATAGTCGCCTGTGTAGTTGCTATAACAATGACCTTTAAAAACTGGTCTTGCAACGATAAAGGAATGCGAAAGTCACGATCATGGAAAGACAATAACAAAGCAATAGAAAACAGAAAACACGAAAAAGGTAGTTGAACTAGAACGTGGACGAGAAAAAGTTGTGATTTATGATGCAGATCTTCACCAGGTATCAGCGTCAAACAATCTCGGGTTGAGTTTTTTTTGTTGAGCTGTATTGCTCGGCGAATTCGCTGGACTAATGTGCGACTGGTACAGATCACAAATCGCAGACACGTTTGTTTGATTTAGAGCAGCGCTCTTGTTGGATCGGTGGTTACCTCAATCTGCCGGGCTTTCATGGCATTGGGAGACGAGTATTCATCGTAACCTAGTCAAATTATTGGGTACATTAGTATCTGGAACAATACATAGAGAAGTCACACCTTTCCACCTTTATACCTTCCTCTGCGTGGGAGCTTAATGCATGGTGTACACTCAGACGAGGTCGATCGATGACAACTAAACTCCTCCACTTAAAAGGGAATGGTTTGAAGTTCCCATGGAACTTTGAATGGAGACCTAGGTACATCGATAGAGTCTCGAATGCTGATTACGAATATGCAGATTAAAAGTGCTACGGGGACCTCCCAGACGAGTTCTGGGCGGTCAAAGTTTGCGAAAACTCAGTTTTGGCTCGTAAGTGCTGTTGATCGGCGCCAGGCGGTGCCACTGTGGACTAGCGGTAACGGTCTCGCTAAAAAGGCAAATGCTTGTGGGTTTGCATCCCGTTGGCGCGAAAGTTTTTGCTTCGTCTCCTATAAGAGCTTTTACTCTAATTTTCGAAATTCTTCCGAGTTTACGACCCAGCAGAGCAAGTAGATCAAGTAGATCATATATGACGTACTCGATCAAGTATGGATTTGGTCACTATCTGCCCTCTCTGAACTCATTAACCATTCGACAATTCGAAGTTTTGGCCAGAATCACAATTTGGCCAGAAACTCGTTCCTGGGGGTATTTTGACCCCCTGAGCCGAATATCACATCCGTTTGACGCGAAAACGATCGGTTCCCTCGTTCAGTTGATGATCACAACAACGTGAAAGCAAGCGTTTTCTCGTCAAACGAATGTGATATTCGTGTTCAGGGGTCAAATTACCCTCAGGAATCAGTTTCTGGCCGAAACTTCGAATTGTCGGATGGGTAATGAGTTCAGAGAGGGCAGATAGTGACCAAATCCATACTCGATCGAGTACGTCATATGCTTGATCTACTTGATCTACTTGCTCTGCTGGGTCGTAAACTCGGAAGAATTTTGAAAATTAGAGTAAAAGCTTTCATAGGAGACGAAGCAAAAACTTTCGCGCCAACGGGATGCAAACCCACAAGCATTTCCTTTGAAGCGAGACCGTTACCACTAGGCCACGGTGGCACTGCCTAGCATCGATCAGCAGCGCTTACGAGCCAAAACTGAGTTTTCGCAAACTTTGACCGCCCAGAACTCGTCTGGGAGGTCCCGTAGCACTTTTAATCTGCATATTCGTAATCAGCATTCGAGACTCTATCGATGTACCTAGGTCTCCATTCAAAGTTCCATGGGAAGTTGAAACCATTCCCTTGTTAGTTTAACGGGAATATGTAATATGTGTGTGTATGTCCTGTATGCATTTCAAGGTTTTCGAATGAGTGTTTATACAATGGCAAAGAAAGAACTCGATCTTTCAAGTGAGTCAGAAGACTCCTATCAAAAACCCATCTAAAATATCTTCTAAACTGGCGAATCTTTAGGGTAGTTGTAGGGCTCTTAAAGACAATTCCCGCGATAAAGTGTTCGGGTAATTGGTGCCCAGTAACGAAGCAGTGGCCCATTTGTAACCCCCAGTGGAAAAAAAAAAAAACCTCGCGAACACCCTGAACACAGACCTCCCTTTAGCAGTGGGGGCGGGGCCTGGACGAGTGTGCCGGACGTGGCTGCCAGAAATCGATGCGGCAGCCGCAATTGCGTCCCGACTTTCGAAATAGGATACTTTAAAGGGACGGAAGCAGCTCGGGACCGGACGCCTCGTCCACCTACCGTGTCAGCGAGCCTAGCGAGCCTTGTGGAAATCGCTATAACTTCCTTATCGCGCCATATTGAGGGATGAAAGTGGTATCATCTTCGTCAAGGCGTAGAGGGTTCCAAAAAGCACGAAGTCATTTTGAGGACCACTTGATCGCGGGGAGTGTCTTTAAGAAAGAGAAAATACTGCGCCCTGTAACCTTTGATTTGCAGAAGATTGCGTGTGAAAGAAGTTCTTAACGTCCGAAGTATAAAAATCCGCGTGCGATTTGCCATTAACCTATATTGAACTGATCCAAAATATTTCTCAAACAGGGAAAAGATTCAGATGACGGGTGGTAAGATAATCAGTAGAGCCATCGGTGTTCACCCTCCGTCTTTCGGTCCCTAAAAACTCTGCACATGAAAAAGTTACCAGCCCCAGAAAAAAAACGCTGCAGTTTCTGCTCTGCCAACAAATGTGCTTCAGCCTCATTTTGCACTGGAATCGATTTTGTTAAATATCTCTTGTCCCACGGACGTTAAAAGGGGGGGGGGAGAGGAGGTCGTATTTGCCTTCTGAAAGGAATTCGCGGCGTTCGGAAAGATTTTTCCCGGTTAATGACTTCTCGGGCAGGGATAGTCGAGTGGTTAGGAGTGGGGCGCAAGTTCGTACCATGGAACGGGCCGCGAGTTCGATCCCTCCCGAGGCAAAATACCAAGCCTTGCAAAATTTGCAACGATGGTGCCGCTGACAGCGTTGGGCCCAGGTTGAGAGGGCGGGCCCACGTTGGGAGGCCGGCTGATGAAGAGCCGCTTCATAACAACCATGATTGAAAGTCGCAAAAGAATCAGTGTAATGCTAGGACGTCACCCGGAAGTGGCGCGCAGAACCCTCGCCCGAGTTCTGTGGTCAGTATGCGAGGGCTACCGAGGGGTGAACGACCTCGGCCAAAGAAGCTAGTTCGCACGTGGGATCGGTGACCGGAAAATCTCGAGAGGTCTGATGAAACGAAGGAATATACGACTCCACGCGACTGCCTTCAGAAAACGCTCTGGAAAATAACCAAAGCCCGAGGGTAGCAAAGCACTTCGATGACTGCGTCTCGTTCTGTGAGCGGGATCAGCGATCATGGCAGTGAGGATGGAAACGAAGTAGGGGCACTGGACAGTAGTGACCGTGTTTGCACCGCAAGCTGGTTACCGCGAGCTCGAGAAAGATGATTTCTACATAACCCTGTACGAGACAAAGGGTCTTGGACCTGGCAACAGCCCACGACCTAGCGGCTTGCAGCACATTCTTCGCAAAAAGGCAGACCCAGAAGATAACCTACAGTAGTGGAGGAGAGGTGAGCGGAAACCGACCATGTGCTCGTGAGAAGATCATCCCTCAAAGCTGCTAAAGACATCAAGGTGCTGCCTGGAAAAGAAATGGGCCCTCAACCCAGATCCCTTCTGGCAGACAGCCCTAGATCTCCCAAATAAGACGAGGATAAGAACTGAGAAGAGGACACGGTGGCGGAAGTTACGCCAGACGGAGAAAGAGCGCTCAGAGGTCCTGAAGACCGGTTTCTTAAATCCCCAGGGACTTGTCCAAGACACTTGGACTAACGCAGCAGAAGTCATCTTGTGGTGTGCTAAAGAAGTACCTGGAGAGAAACCAGGAGAAACAGGGCAGTGCGATTCTGGGAGGAGAAATTCCAACGGGTGATTAAGCGGAAGAAGGAAACGTACAAACAATGGCAGAAGACAAGGACCCCAGAAGATATCGCTGTCTGCAGCAGTTCCAAACGACTCACGAAGGCAGGCAGCAGCAAT